GTGGGAAGACGGCAAGGATTGTGCGAATGCGCGCGTTCCGGCTTTGTTTTGGGTGGGTGCGCGTTGTCGAAGTCCGACGTGGCCGACGTGGAGACCCCCCAAACCTCCCCTTAGATTGACACCGGTTTGCGGAATTTCAAATGTCGAGATCGGTCCGGACAATTTTGGTAACCATAGTTGAATGGCCAAAAGTGCCTGAACTGTCCAATCCAAACATTTCCAGACGGTTTGATGATCGGCGTTTTAGTTGTCCTTAGCTAGCCCTGTGTATCTAAAAAAAGTTAGCTCGCCGCATGCTACAGATAGTCAGTCAGCGCGCACATCTTCCTTCAGGCAAGACGCCTGTGTCGTCCAATCAAGACATGCAAGCATATGTCACGTAAAAAACACATGGCATGTGTCTTCGGTCCCGGCCATTTCAGAAGAAGAAATTTGAAGTCCAGATTGATTTTTGTACAACATATGCATACAGAAACATGTTGCCTATATATAGGTGGTGCCAAGGGAAGCCTTTGACACTGAAACATAGCTGGTTGTCATCACACCATATGGCTGCAAGAGCGTTGCTGGCGGTTATCTTCCCATATCTCCTTATGGTTGTCGCTTCCAGTGCCGACGACGGCGCCTATGGCCTGCAGCCCATAAGCCGGAGGAGCTTCCCCAAGGGCTTCATCTTTGGGACGGCCTCCTCGTCCTACCAGGTTTTCACTCGTTTTTCCTTCATTGATCCATGGTCTCCTGTCTTAGTTCAGTAACAATCTGTTGAACAAACCCCGCAAAAAATTAAAATCTGTTAAACAAGTATGAAAGCTGTAGCATAAGCTAATGTTGTGTGATAGTCATTCACCTGCCGAACTCAAACTGATTGCATGTTTTAGGCAAACTGATTGCATGTTTTCAGCTGATGTTGTGTGATACCATATACGATGCATTTCATTCACTAACAACTTGATGTTCTAGTGGTCACACCAAACTGCTTTCTAGATTAGGTTCCAGGCCCACACAATGTATGTCATTTTTTTTCCTCGATACGATTTTCCAACTGAATTAGAGCGATTTGCTAATTGGATCAAGCTGGCGCTGTTTTGCAAAAAAGAGCCCAATAAATATTAGTATGTTATTGAGCAATTAAAGAAAATGCTGATGTGGTAGCCATGTAGCCTTTTTTCCGCCCTAAGAGCATCTACAGCCGGACTTGGCAAATCCAACCCCTCAAACGTCTGAGGACGAGCCCGGGCGCATCGCGGACAGTGACCGGTCACGCCTCAAAAAAATGCATTTCACATCCGGATACCTCAAATTAGAAACCTCAAATCCATATTATTACATGCAACTATCTACTTGATGCTTCATTCTGAATCAATAAAATCCACCCTTTATCGAAAAATATTATTACATGCAACGTGAAACCTAATCTAAGCGGAGCTCGTCCGGTTGCACTCCCCGCTCATCCGGCTTCGCCCTCGCCATGTCCGGTGGCCGGATGCGCTCCTCAGAGTGTTGGTCTAGTCGCTGGCAAGCAGGTAGAGTAAGGCATGGGACACGAGCCGGCTCATGGGACTCAAGGCGCCGCCTTCTCCCATGCAAGGTAGAGTAGGTGGACGTCAGATCGATGACGGATCCGTCCGGGGAGGAGCCGCCGACATCCACCATGATGCGGTTGTGTCGCCCGGACTGATGCCTCATACGGGGTGCCGGAGAATGTGCCTCCGCTTCACCGGCGTACGCCACCGTGAGGGCTACCGCCGCCTCCCGCGCCTGGTGCCTTGCATGGGGCGATGGTGCGTCCCGAATAACGGCACGCCAACGGAGGGGTTGCGCATCCGCCAGCGCATTCGGATGCCAAACGGACCGCACGGCCTACGGCAAGGCAGCTACGGCTGGCCTAGCGCCAGATCCATGCGCCATTTGGGCGGACACAATGGATTCCTGACGGATGGAGTTCGAGTGCAGTCGTGCACGGGCCTCCTCCCGGGCGCGGCGGAGCACAAGCCGGACGGCCATCTCCTCCTCGGGGCTGTGTGGTATGAGCTCGGGGTCGACGGATCTCAAGGTGAAGGACTCGGATCTGCTAGCCGCCATGCCGGAGACGACCGGAAGGAGCCGGAGACGAACTTGGGTGGCGGAGGGGAGTGAAGTGGTTAGGGTTTGGTCCGGCGAGCGGATGAGGAGAAATTTATGTGGGGTCAGGTGGGCCAACATGGGCTAGGTCCGACGTGGCGGGCATGCCCAAGCACGCACGGGCGCCTCCATATCCACCCCATATTTGGGATGGATATGGGGGGTGTCGGTCAGCCCAGGTGTTCGAGGGCCGTTTGAGGGGCCTGTCTGGATAAAAAAAATCGTTACCGGGCGGCCCGCCCGGCTGTAGATGCTCTAAATAGGTTTTTGTCTTATTTGATAGACTAAACGAGTTTATGACCTAAATTTGACCTCTTTGCAAGTTGTTGGCCTAAAACGTGCAATCGGTTGAGTTCATGTACTAACGCCATATTTCACTCTTAATTAATGATATCTATCATTATGTAAGCTTTGGTTCTAGCATCGTCTAATTACAAATCTGCTGGATATTCACATGCTGCAGTATGAGGGTGCTGCAATGGAGGGGGGCAGGGGATCAAGCATCTGGGACAACTTCACTCACCAACACCCAGGCATGTATATACATCTTCTATGCACAGTGTATATCATTTTTATTAGCAAATTGTTTGTACATGTCTTGTTAATATTAGAACATTATCAATTTGAGAGGTCAAGAGCTATAGAAAATCACCTTTTTTTACTGCATGAAGCCTTCATAGTGTTTAACCACTGGATGGAAGAATTACACGCGCACACCTCAAAGCTAATCCAACGCTTGGGAAACCAATTATGATTTAACAGCGTATATATTAGGCAACTTAGAATAAGAAACATGGTAGTAATGATATACACTATATATACCACTCACACCTACAAAGCGTAAATTTAAACTTCTCCAACTTCGACTGGTAAAAAAGTTGTTTAAAATAGTGAGTTGAAAATAGAAAATGATATTTATTGCAAAAATATTTGGATAGTACCATAACTTTTACAAACACAATTGTATGAAACATAGAGTCAAAGTTAAGTGTTGATTATTGCACATATTAACAAAGGGAGTAGGATTATGGTAATACTATCTTAAGGACCGTACGTCTGAGTATCTTACCAAGTTTCAATGCCTATATTTGTATTTTTTTTGTTTTACGATTAGCCAATATTTGTAGTTATATGGAAAACTAGGCATTCATATCCACCTATGTTGTGATTACCAATAAAGTAATTTGAATTTAGAACTAAGGTTAAAGCATGATTTTCCTTTCAACAAAATTAATATACATGAGCATAATAGCCTTTTTCTCATAACAGTCTACTTAGTAAATAACTTTGGCAGATAAAATCGCCGACAAAAGCAATGGGGATGTGGCACTGGACTCCTACCATCTTTACAAGGTAGTGATAGTGTATCTATCTTGCTTTTTAATCAGATCTTTAAGTTTCTTCACAAATTATATGGTCAAAGTTGTTGATCAAGATCACATTGTAACAAGATCTTTGAATTTTAGTGCCAGTCCAACAAAAAGAAACTGGGTGCTCCCTCCGTTTAAAAAAAGTATATATTGCCCTAAGTAAAAATATAAAGTTTGACTAAATATATAGAAAAATCTGCAAGGATATACAATATGGAATTTATATTATATGAAAATATATTTCATAATGCATCTAACAAAGCAAATTTGGTGTTGTAGATGTTGATGTAACCTTGTATAGATTTGGTCAATCTTAATGATGTTTGACTTAGGACAAACATATAAGTTCAATTATCTTGGAAAGAAGGGAGTAGTACTGATCCTAATTTGCTAATAACACAGGAAGATGTGCGCCTTATGAAGGATATGGGAATGGATGCATACAGGTTCTCCATCTCATGGACAAGAATTCTTCCAGGTATGATATTTCAGACTGGCTACCTCCACTCCCATTTTTTGTCCCAAGTAGAATAATCTATTTTGCATCATCTTCACATTTACTAGTCGATATAGAATGTTCATATCCATCTTAATGTCTTAATGCATAATAGATGGAACTCTGAGAGGTGGAGTCAACCAAGAAGGCATCAAGTATTACAACAACTTGATCGATGAGTTGTTGTCCAAAGGTATGCTGTCAAACCGTCAGTATGTAATTTGATTTATTACCTAATCAATTAAAGTGCACGGAACATTAGGTCGTTTCTTTATTTCATCAGACTATTCTGAAGATTTGAGATCTTCTGTATATCTGCAGGGGTGCAGCCATTTGTGACACTTTTTCACTGGGACTCTCCACAGGGATTGGAAGATAAATACGGAGGATTTCTTAGCCGTAATATCATGTAAGCTAACCACTTTTATTTTCTAAGAACATAACCCCCTTGAGTGGTGTTTTAGACATGAGCCCAATGCAACTCTGTCTTTTTCGACAAAGGGAATATATTAATATCGCGGTGATACCAATTACACCCAGCCTCTGCAACAATGCAATGTCGTAAAGGCATTATGGATGCACACAACTAAAGACAATAAGAAGAAGAAAAAAAGAAAGAAAGATCCCGCAACATCGATCAATTTCTTGTAGATGCAACACGAACCACCACCTAAACAACACCCGAAGTCCCAATTCTCTAAAAGCGATGCCTCCAAGAAGAAAACATTGCAGAAACACCATCATCTCCTGATCCTAAATCTTAGGTTTTCACCCTGGAGAAGATTCACGCTCTCAAAACAATGCCTTCAACAAGGTCACTACCAGGCACAACCAATTAAGGCCAGAGCTTGGACTTTCACCCTGAAAGCTAAGACTCTGTACTCCGCCTGTGTTGCTGCCCTGACTTGCCGATGTCATTGCCATGAGTCACGAATCACCAAGAAAAGTCATCATTTCCACGAAGACTCGATCCGCCATGACAAGGCCTCGGACCTCAGCCACCATGACATTCTCGGTCACTATCTTCATCATGGAAATCGAAATACCGATGTGTCCTATACTGTAAACAGACAACGAAGCTTCGCATCACACCCTCCTGAAGCCAGTCGGGCTGAAATCGGAGCGCACACGACCGAATCCCATCCGATCCAGAAATCTGCAGGCGTCCAGCACCCAATGAAGATCTCTAGCGGAGCATTCCGGAACTCGTCAATGGCTAGATCCATGAGGGCTGGCAACTGGCAGAAGAACATCTTAGAGCAAAAAGAACCAAAGGACCGCACCACCCGCCGACTCCCAACATCAGGCCGAAGATCTCAGCGGGCACCACCACCCGCACCACGCGGAGATGAGAAGCTAAGCCGCACCGAGCCCCTTGAACCAGACGTCGTGCCGCCCTCGTGGCCACAACGGCAGTCGTGGTCACCGGAGAAATCTGGGGCCGCCGCCCCGACGCACATCTCCGCCATAAGAACCATGTCATCCAGGGCCGCCATGGAGCTCCAGCCGGAGATCCCGCAACGCGAGAGAGGATGGGACCCCCGCCGCCATTAGTCGTGCGAGAAGGATGAGGACCCGCCACCTACATCAGCCTCGCGGCCTTAGACTGGAGGCAGGCTTCAGCGGCGGGGAGGGGAGTGGGATGGAGGAGGAAGGGGCGGCGGCTACGCTCTTGGGATCTGCCCGAGTCACCCCTCCTCGGAGCGATGCGGGGGTGATCCTATTTTTTCGAGGCCCTCAAACCGATCCGGGATTTCAACTCCGTAGTAACTTTTGAATAAGTTACAAAACAATTACAAAATATATTGTATATATTTTTATGATAAGTCAAATGGAAGCATTTGTTCCTAATGTACCTTAATACTATGTAGGTTTTACACATTAGCTGTTGAAGATTGAAAAGGTGTGGCTACGCGCTTCATAAAACTATTTCATTTACGATGACACGCTTTGTAAAACTATTTCATTTATGATGAAGGTAGTATCATGTGCAAACATGTATACCTTAACTTTCAAAATAACCAACTCACAATGGTGCAGAAATGACTATAAAGACTTTGCTGAAGTCTGCTTCAAAGAATTTGGAGATCGCGTGAAGCATTGGATCACATTGAATGAGCCATGGTCCTTTTGCGTTTGGGGTTATGCAGAGGGCGTATCTGCACCAGGTCGGTGTTCTCCGTGGGAGAAGGCAAACTGCAGCGCCGGGGATTCAGGGAGGGAGCCGTACACTGTCGGCCACCATCAGATACTCGCTCATGCAGCAGTTGCGAGATTGTATAAACAGAAATATAAGGTGACTGGTACAGCTATTCATCGTATCATGCAGCTGCAATTCATCCACGAACGTGATTGATATGGTGTACATAAGAAAATGCAGGGCATGCAGAAGGGCAAGATCGGAATAACTTTGGTCGCAAACTGGGTTATTCCCTTATCCCGTTCAAAATCAAGCATTGCCGCGACGAAACGCTCTATGGAATTCATGCTTGGATGGTAAATTCTTTACGTTTCATGCTGACACAGTTTGTTGTATGAGTCTAGAATAGAATGCAGATTGATCTTATGCTAGGAATAAAACGACTGTAGGTTTTTGGACCCGCTCTGCAGAGGAGACTACCCCCGGAGCATGAAAGTATTGGTTGGAAACCGCCTGCCGCAGTTCACCAAAAAACAATCTAAATTGATGAAGGGTGCATTTGACTTCGTTGGACTCAACTACTATACTACAAACTACGTTGGTAGCCTTCCTCCATCAAAAGGCACGAGGAACAGCTACTCTACTGACGCTCAAGCTATTCGTACCGGTGAGTCGATCATGCTAAATCAATAATCAATTTGTCTTCGTTCTTCGTCTGCCAGACTAATAATATCAAAGAAATTATCCCTTTTTAGAAATAAATATTAAGTGAATAATGGAGACTTTGCCGCAGATTATATATGTTAATACTGCATGCTAAAAATTACCCAATTATGTCAGGTGTTCGAAATGGTGTTCCCATAGGTCCTCAGGTAACTAGCAGCTTATCCCCATACAGAGACTAATCTTCCTCAAGTTTTCTCCCAACTTTCTTTTTTGGATAGAGTAAATGACCTGCATGTAGGCCGCTTCGCCTTGGCTCTACGTCTATCCTCAAGGCTTTCGTGATCTGCTACTTTATATCAAGGATAATTACCACAATCCAACCATCTACATCACTGAAAATGGTAAGTGTATTTCCTCCCCAGATAGGAACAATGAGATAATAACTTACGGTGCTGCTAAGTCGACATGTTAACCGTTGAATCGTTTCTTGCGTCAGGATTCACGCATGGGGTTTGTTTTGTCTCGATTGGCCTGTGTAGGGCGTGCGGCCGGCCTGTTTTCATTTGTTTGTCTGTTTTGGGCCTTTTTTTTTAGAACGGAGACGCTAGACGCGTCCGGCTTTAACTTAATAAAGCCCATAAACTTAGGCAGCGTTTACAGACGAGGACTAGGACAAACGTCACGAGCGCGGAGGCTCAGGTTCCGCTGGTGCGAAAGCATAGCAAGGTCACGAGCGCGGAGGCTCAGGTTACGCTGGCGCGAAAGCACAGCAAGGTCGCAGACAGGCCAGAGGCCATAAGTAATCAAAGCGAGTCTATTACAGGCCAAAGACCAAAAGCATAGAGCACGCAGGCTCGCTCGCGAGACAAAAGAAACCACTTCACGTCGTAGAAGCGGCGGTCGGCTCCCTAGCCAAAACGTAGACTTGTCGAAGACGATCTTGAGCTTGCTTCACCTTCTCAGCATCCTTGTGCTTCGCCAACAGACTCCACTGCTGCATAAGAATGTTGCATTTGTAAAGAATATTAGCAGGGTGTGATGGGAAGATTCCCTCGATGGCAAGTTTGTTCCTTGTAAGACACATTGCCCAGGCTAGGGCACCGAGGCAGCTCCAAAGTACACGTTTACTGCCACCCGTCATCGACGCAACTATGGTCGCTAGGTCAGCGGCCGATCGCGGGTCCCAAGTGGTGTTGGTGGCCGCTCGGACTGTGCTCCAGGCAAAACGCGCTAGGGGGCAGCGGAAAAATACATGGTTCGCATCTTCCATGGTATTACAAATGGCGCATAAGCCGGAAGACGGGCCGTTGCGTTTTGCAACATTGGCCGATGTGGGAAGTCTATTGCGGAAAAGTTGCCAGAAGAACACCTTGACTTTAAGCGGAATACGGGAGTTCCACAAACCGGTCGGCATTGGGAATGCCGGTCCCTGAGCTTGGCATAGCCTGCGGTAGAGGGATTTGACCGTGAACTTTCCGGACGGGGTGAGAGCCCAAGTGACCGTGTCCGCGGAAGTGGACAGCGTCACCGATTGTGTCAAGCCAAGCAGCTCCTCTAAGCGTGCTTGTTCAAGGCCCGTTAGCTCTCTACGAAAGTGGATCGTGGGTGGGTTCGAGGCTAGGGCCGTCGCTACCGTCATCTCCAGGTTGACCGCCAGGACATACAAGTCCTGAAATTGGGCCCAAAGGGGCTGCGCTCCCAGCCATAAGTCAAGCCAGAAGCGGGCCGAGCGCCCATTCCCTACGACGAACTTGGCGCCAAGGGCGAAGGCCGGGCGCACCGCTTGGAGGTCGTTCCAGAAAGGAGAGCCCCGCGCCCTGCCTTCGAAAAAGTTCCCGTTGGGGAAATACTTAATGCGCAGCATGTCCACCCACAGACCGGTCGCCCCCTGCAACAACTTCCAGATCCATTTGCACATGAGTGCAATGTTGAGGATCCGTGTGTTTGTGATCCCTAGCCCCCCTAGGTCCTTGGGTCTGCACACCGCGTCCCATCTGACCATATGGTATTTACGTTTGGGTCCCGCACCTTCCCAAAAGAAACGGGACCTTGGTGTGTCCATCTTGGCGTGCACCCCTTCGGCCAAGAGGAACAGCCCCATTGCAAACTGCGGCAGCAAGGACAGGCTCGCGTTTGTGAGCACTAGCCGGGCTGCAGAAGAGAGGAACTTCCCCCTCCATGGACAGACCCGCCCACCCACCTTGGTCCAGAGTGGCGCCCAGCCATCTATCGAGATGCGTTTGGCATCCAACGGGAGCCCAAGGTAAGTAAACGGGAGTTTGCCTAGTTTGTAATTGAGCTGGTCCGCGATACGCCTACTATCGGACGGCTCGAGTCCCATGGGCATCACTTCGCATTTGTGGAAGTTGATCTTGAGCCCCGACATAAGTTCAAAGCTAATCAATAGTGCTTTGATCGTGGCCACGCTGTCCAGGTCTGGTTGGAACAGCAGGAGCGTGTCGTCAGTGTACTGTAGGTGCGATATCCCCCCTGGGATGAGGTGCCCCAACACCCCTTTGATATGGCCTGCTTCCTTTGCTTTCCGTAGCAAGGTCGCAAGTGCATCTGCCACAAAATTGAACAAGAGCGGTGACATGGGATCACCCTGGCGAAGGCCGCGCTTGTTCCGGAAGGAGTGCCCTACCTCTCCATTCACCGAGACCGCAGTTTGGCCCCCCGAGACCAACTGCATGATTCTGTGCACCCACACCGGCGAGAAGCCTCGGCTCAATAGGATTTGTCTGAGGAAATCCCAGTTGACGCGGTCGTAAGCTTTTTCGAAGTCTAATTTAAGTAAAATCGCCGGTTCGCGCGTGCGCCTAAGTTCGTGGAGGGTCTCTTGCAACGCTAATGGTCCCTCCAAAATGTTCCTACCGCGAATAAAGGCAGATTGGGAACGGCTGATTGTGCGGTGTGCGATCGGAGTAAGCCGCGTGGCACAACCCTTAGCGCATATTTTGAAAGGCACATTAATGATCGCTATTGGTCTGTACTGGCGGATATTATCCGCACCCGGCACTTTAGGTATTAGGGAGAGCACGCCGTAGTTTAACCTAGCAATGTCGACAAAACCGCGCATGAAGCCATTGCACACCGCAAAGATGGGGTCGCGCGACAGTGGCCAGAAGTGTTTAAACATCGCCGCCGGCCACCCATCGGGCCCCGGTGTCGTGTCAGTTTTCATGCTTTGGAGAGCCTCGTCAATCTCCTTGGGGAGAAACGCGAGCCCCAGCTCTTCGTTCTCCGACTCCAAGACCTTTTGAGCTGGCAGCCAGGCGTCCTCGCTCAGCCTGGCGCGCTGAGGCTTGTCGGTCCCCATCAGGCTTATGTAAAAGTCGTAGATGTGTTTGCTAATCGCTGATTGCTGGAGAAGGAGCCCCTGCTCCGTCTGTAGTCTCAGGATTAGGCATTTACTGTGACGACCATTCGCGTACGCGTGGAAGTAGCCAGTGTTCGCATCGCCCTTGAGCGTCCACTTAAGTCCTCCTCGGCGCCTCCAGTACTCCTCCTCGGATCGGAGCAACGCCTCGACTTGCCCTTCCAAGGCGTATCGATGCACCCATTCTTGCTCCGAGAAAGGACGCGAGTCTGCTTGAGTGTCGAGGGTTGCAATCTCATCGAGAAGTCTCGCCCTCAAAACTTTCTCGTCTCGTCCCTGATTCGCGCCCCATCCCTTGAGGCTTGCACGCAGGCGTCCCCCGACCGCTGTCCAAAACTCCATAGGGCCGCGCTGCTGGCTTGGACACTTCTCAACCATCTTTCCCGAAAGATGTTGTCGAAATCAGGGACCTCGAACCACGCTGTTTCGAAAAAGAAGCGCGGGCTGCGACGTACCCTATCTTCCCCTGAAGATAAGATGAGTGGAACATGGTCCGAGCCGATCCTTGTTTCGGCAAGGAGCGAGCATAATGGGAACACCACTTCCCATTCCGGAGACATGAAAGCGCGATCCAAGACGGATCGCACCGGGGCTAGTTGCTTGTTGGTCCAAGTGTATCTTGGCCCCGTCCTTGCCACTTCCCTAAGTGACATTGATGCAATTGCGCTATTGAACATGGTCACCCTTGACCAGTTGATGTTGTCGTTATTTTTGTCCGCGCTCGATCGGATGAGGTTAAAATCTCCACCCACTAAGAGCGGGACCTGGGATGCGGCGACTGCCAGCACCTTGGCTTCGAGTTCTCCCAGAAACTCTGCCGAATGTGAGTGATCTGCTGGTCCACACACTTGCAGGATCACGAGCTCGCGTAGCGAAGCTCTCACGCGAATATTGGCTGCAATAAAGAAGGTGCCTACCTCCCAGGACAACACCTCATATATGGCACTGCAGAAGCCAAGCAGCATGCCACCCGAATGCCCAATAGCCGGGCTATGTTGCCAAATGAAACGCTCCAAAGGGTCTATGGCTACGCGGTCTTGGTGACGAAAATTAGTTTTAATAGTTTCCTGGAGCCCTACTATATCTATCCCTTCTTTCCTGATGTAGTCTCGAAGTTGGGTGCGCCGCCCCGAGTGGCCGAAGCCACGGATGTTCCAAATGAGCATCCGCATCTAGATGACACGGTTTCACAGACGGACACCCCTAGAGGTGATCGCCTTGGCCACGCACCTCACCTTGCCGCAGCGAGGCGAGGGAGGAGCCGCAACCCCTGTTGCTGTCTCCCCTTTGGGCCGGAGTCTTAGCGACGTCGAGGGTTCCTCCTCGACAGCCAGACGCTCCGCGTGTTGAGCAGCCGCCGCTGCGAGTGCCGCCTGAGCCAGTTCTTTAGCGCGCACCAGCGAGATTAGCTCGCTAACCCCGCCCTACCCAATTGGTTCAACTCCATTCTCCACCAACACCTCGCCTAGGTGTTCGTCCGAGAAAGAATCCAAAATCGAAAAGCGAGGCAATGGATTACCTGAGGTTTCCAGATTCTTCTGTACTTGGAGGAGTTGGGCGCGCTGAAGCGAAGGCATGTTTCCTTTGGCGCCCTTGGCCCGCGCGCTGACCCGCACAGGGGCCACCTGCCCGTCCACGACAGCCTTGGAACGCTTGGCCTTCGGGACAGACATCGTCTTGGCCGCTTCCAGCGTGATCAGAGCGGAGGTGGGCACGGCCAGCGCCATCACCGCCTACCGGGGAGTCACCGGCGCGCCCTGGAGCTCCGCCACACGAACGGCCTCCGCGCTAACCTTGCGCACGGCCACCTTCTTGAGTTGTTTCACCGCCCCGAGCTTGTTGGAGCTGCGCCCCCCTTGGGATGGAGAGCGCGAGGCAAGCGGCAGCGACTCCATGGACACCGCTATAGGAGTGCGCGCCTCCCCCAGTGGTTCCTCCATCTGGCCCGCACCTGGCTCCGCCACCGCCCGCACCGGGGGGGACGTGACCGAGCCCAGGTTGGAGCCATACAGGTTGGGGATG